TGGACAATTCATCCTAAGATGATCTGTGGAAAAGAGAAATGTTCTCATTAAGGCGCCAGTGACACAGTTTGGGCATAGCAGAAATAACGGGGGGAAACAAAAGATTTAAGGTAAAGAGGCATGGTCCAGACCAAGTGATGGGATTGATTTCAGAGGAAAAACAAGAAGTGGGAGCAAAGAGGCAGAGATGTAAAAATGATCTAGGCGGGAATTAAACTACGGTGAGGGTTGGTAAAGTAAAATGTAAAATTGTTTATGGAGGGGGTGTTTGTTTAATCCGCCAAGCGTCAAAGAGACTATGCTCCCTAATCAATTTACGAAAAGATTTTGAAGAGGAGCATTGCCGCTTCGAGGGGGTGGACTCAAAGAGCACTTTCCTGTCCTCATGGGGGGGAAACAATCAGATTAAAATCTCCCCTACAATACCTGTGAGGTAGTAATAGAGTCTAGATTAGCGAGCGTCTGGGATAGGAATTGCAGTTGACCTGTATTGGTGAGCATAATAAATACAAAAAAATTCAACAGAAACAAAAAAAAAGGGAGTTTCGCCATTGCATACACTCTAAAATAATTAAAACGACACCTGACGGTCAACCTTGAAGAAACAACCCGAAGGGAGCAGTGAGACCAATAAGGATTGCCACTCCCCGGCCTTCCCAGAAGGATTAAAGGCCGAGTAGGCTTGGGAAAAAAATCTCGAGGCCAAAACGAAAGGAGCCAGTCGATGTAAAATGGGTTCTTTGGACAAAAATAACGTCCTGCTCCTGAGGATCGGAATTCCTTTAAAGCCATCCACCGTTTTTGAATGGAGTTGAGGCCCTTGACCAGAATATGACAGAAACCTCAACGCCATTATGAAACAACGACAACTGACCTAACATGGTAATAGCATGAAAAATGAATGGAATACCATCGATGTAATATAGTGAAAAACACAAAAAACATAAAACAATTGAATAACACAGTACAGCTGCAAAGTAATAGTATAAAAAACAAAAAACAGAGAACTAACACTAATTAGTATCCGCAAAGGATATAAACTCGGGGCAACAATGTGACCCAAGTCGTCTAGGCCTATGGCTAGACAAAGTCGGGAGCAGCACGACAACCAGGGACATCGGAGAAGGTCGTCAAGCCCGGCCAGAGAAACAAAAAAAAAAAAACAATCAAAAATGAAAAAAGGACACCCGACAATTTGGCTGGACAGTATTAAGGGAAAACCGGTGGGGAAAATTATGTAGAGACAAAAAAGAAACCAAAAAAACCCAGGAGAGGGAAGGTTCATCACCGGGATTCAGAAGGGCGCCCCAGAGAATCGTCAAGCAGGTGGATCAGTTGACCGAGGAAGACGCGGACGTTGTGGGGTACGGGGGGAAAGTCTCTTCCGACCCTCTGCGAACTGGGGTTCCAGATCTTGTGGGGGGTGGCGGTATGGACGAGACTGAGTTGGTGGCAGTGGGGATACATCTTCAGACAGAGGTGGGGAAAGGTCCCAGGCTGTTTTAAGAAGGAGGTCCGCCTCATGAAGATCACGGAGCACAACTTTGGGTATTGTCCCTGGTTCACAATCAGCGAAAGGGGAAACCCCTCAGCGGTTAAGGGACACGGTGGTTGTTGAAGGTGTGTGGTGATCGGGTTCAGGTCTCGTTTCGCTTCTTAGCCAGTGTAATCGGGGACAGGTCGCAGAAGAGTTGGAGTCTGTCCCCCTGAAATTCAGAGAATTATGGTTTGTGGGAACAGGAGAAAGTAGAGCTTCTTTGCTTTGGAAAAAATGAAAGCGAAACCATAACGTCGCGAGGTTCTGGTGCCTTCAGCTGGTTTTGGGCCCCCAAGGAGCGGGTGAGCCCTATCCATACGCCAATCTGCTTCTGGAAACCAAGGGGGCAGTCGCAGTAAAGGAGGACAGAAGATGACGGTGCAACAAAAAAAAAAAAAATGTGCATCTGCAATAGACTCGGACATACCGCGGATACGGATATTTTGGCGCCGTTCCCTGTTTTCCAGATCCTCTGCTGGAGCTGCATTTGGGACATGGAATGCTTCAGATAAGCGTTATCCTCTTCCAGCACGTGGACGTATTGAACCAGATCATCAAACTCATTTTCCAATCTGTCCGTGGCGGTCACCAATCTGGGCAATTTTCTCTCTGAGATCCAAGGCCAGCTTTCCAACCTCAGCGGATATGGGCGCGGGCAATGTTGCGCAAAAAATTTTGTAGCTTGTCATCCAACGCTGACAATGTGAGGGAAGGTGGCCTGTGGAGTTGTCTGGGTGTGGAGGGAGGATGCTTCCCTGAGGCAGAGTGCTCCGCAGCCCTTGCAGTAGCATGCTGGGGCTCATAGTCCTCCAGCAGGGATTGAGTCAGGGCAGAGGCTGAAGTTTCAGTGGGTGCAGTACCAGTCGCGACCACCGGGGGGCCGCGATCCCCTCCCTGGGCTCCCAGCCATACTTGAGACTGGGGATTGGGGCCTGGAGAGAAACCTCCGGAAGCGGCGAGGGCCGCGGGTCACGTGATTGCTGGGGAGGGGGGTCTCCAGCGCCCTATTCTTCCCCATCAAGCCTCTTCTCAGGTGCCGGGTCGGGTGCGGCGTGCAGATGACTCACCCGCAGCTGAAGAGGAGCAGAAGCGGCTGTCGGGTGAGTCTGTATGGCCGGGGATGAGCTCACTTAATGTGCTCGGCCGCCATCGTCCCTGGCCGCGCATGCGCCCTTTTTTTTTTTTTTTTTTTTTTTTTTTTATAATCCGCTTAATTGCTTTCACAAGGGATGAACAAACTTCCCTTGTGACGCACGGGGCCATGGACAGGTCCTCTTTATGGAGAGATCTCGGGGTCTATTAGACTTCCAGATTTCTCCTCTTGCCTCCAATGCAGCCGATCAGACACGAAAATCGCGTTCAAGCTTTTGTGGCGTGCATATTCAGGAGTGCCCATTGAATTTTGGGGAACAAAATACGCACTGATCTGCTTGAAGTGAAGTCTTCCATATGATGGGCAGCACACTACAAAGCGACAGAGGGTGCTAATGTGAATGGGTCAATTCAAATAAATGGACTTTTACATGGTGAGCCTTGTTGCGTTTAGGTATAAGCTGAGAAATGTTCATGTGTGAATGAGAGCTTAAACTGTTAACTAAACACACAACAGTAAAATCCGCTTGCATATGCAGTAAAGCATGCTTGTTATACTCACTGTGCAACCTAAGGGGTTAATCTTCTGCATTGTGTAAAAATGCTGTTTGATCCTGACTTCTCTGATCCTCACCCTCTTATCTCCTGATAAGACATATAATGTGGAGACACTCTACACGTGCTCAGTTTGGTGTGTGTTGCTAGAGAATATTTTTGTTTTTCCTTGCGAGAGTGCATGTGATCAGCACAGGGCCAATCAGCACTGTCCAGACAGAGGTCGGGTTCTGCATCCTCCTAGAGCAGAAAGAAAAAACTCATGCAAGCTTTACCCAGTGCTTAGCTGGACACTGATAGAAGTCACAAGGCTGCCCTAACTGCTGATGAGAGAAAGGTATTTAGCAGTTTATATTTACTAAAATAATTGCTTTTCCATGTTCTGTGTTCAGTGGGAGACCAGATATAGTGAATGCAGGGTCCTGGGTTTAGTAACACTTTAAGCAGGATTAGTGTGGAGGGCCATTCTGGTGATTCAGATTCCACCTGCATGGCTAGGAAAATAGTGGCATGTGAACATTGTAAATCTCTTGGCAGAAGAGCCGTAGGCACTTCAGATCGGCCAGATTTGATTTCGTAGGGTCAGATCTCCCATCCTGCTTTACAGTCACTGGCTTTGATGGCATGGCTAAGGAAGCCCAAGTTCTAGGGATAGGATATGTGCAGTTTTTACCTAAGGGTTCATCAAAGGGTCAGGCTGCTTCTCAATCTTTGTATTTATCAGCTTATGGAGTAAGTCCATCCATGAAATTTCCTGGCTTCTATATGTTCCATGGTCAACAGCTAGAGCAACTGGGAACAGCAGCAGCAACTCAGCCACGAAGTGGTAGGCCACGTAAAATGATTGGGGTCAGCGCATGCTGAAGCGCACAGTGCACATAAGTTGCCTACTGTTTGCAGAGTTGATGGCTAAAGACCTCCATCCTTTTGTGTGGCCTTCAGATTAGCACAACAGTGTGTAGAAAGCTTCATGGAATGGGTTTCCATGGCTGAGCAGCTACATCCAAGCCTTACATCACCAAGTGCAATGCAAAGCGTCGTATGCAGTGGTGTAAAGCACGCCACCACTGTACTCTAGAGCAGTAGAGATGATGTGTTCTCTGGAGTGATCATACTTCTCTGCCTGGCAATCCAATGGATTTGTCTGGGTTTGGTGGTTGCCAGGAGAACGGTACTTGCCTGACTGCACTGTGCCAAGTATAAAGTTTGGTGGAAGGGGATTTTGGTGTGGGGTTTGTTTTAGGGGTTGGGCTTGGCCCCTTAGTTCCAGTGAAGGGAACTCTCTTAAGGCGTTAGCATACCGAGACAATTTGGACAATTTCATGCTCCCAACTTTGTGGAAACAGTTTGGGGATGGCCTCTTTCTGTTCCAACATTACTGCACACCAGTGCACAAAGAAAGGTCCATGAAGACATGGATGAGCGAGTTTGGGGTTGAAGAATTTGACTGGCCTGCACAGTCCTGACCTCAACCCTTATAGAACCGTGAGAGCGGAGACTGCAGCCAGGCCTTCTTGTCCGATATCAGTGCCTGACCTCACAAATGCGCTTCTGGAAGTATGGTCTAACATTCCCATAGACAAACCCCTAAACCTTGTGGACATCCTTCCCAGAAGAGTGGAAGCTATAGCTGCAAAGGGAGGGCCAACTTAATATTGAACCCTACGGACTAAGACAGGAATGCCTTTAAAGTTCATGCACGTGTAAAGGCAGGTGTCCAAATACTTTTGTCAATATAGTGTATGTACTACTGAGGAGAATAATATATAGTGGAAATAAATTTATATACCGTATTTTTTGCTCCATAAAACGCACCTGACCATAAGATGCACCTAGGTTTTAGAGGAGGAAAATGAGAAAAATATTCTGAACCAATGGACTGCAGACATAGTAAAGGAAATGACCAGAGACTGTGGATGTACTACAGGAGATGACCAGAGACTGCAGACATAGTACAAGTCTAGGCGATCGGAAGCGGAAGTTGTCCTCCCTCCCCGTAGTCTTCTGGAACACATGACAGATCCTAGAAGACTATGGGGCCATTCACAAAGGACAGCACTTCTCCTGCATGCGCAGTGGTCATCCAGCTGTGAAGCTGCAAGCTGTCATAGCTGGGTGCCCACACTAAAGATGCTGGCGCCAGGGAGAGAAGATTGGCTGGTGAAACCAGCGGTGGCGAGGACACCGCTGGATTGAGAAAAAGGTAAGTGGCTGTATTTTAAAAGTCAGCAGCTACAGTTTTTGTAGCTGCTGACTCTTTTTATTTTTTTTTTTTCAGCTGAACTCCACTTTAAGCCCTTCCTGGCACTGCTGACTCGGACTCCTCCTCTCTTCTGCCACAAGAGAGCCGAGCGGCCGGCCCGGTATTCTAACACAGCAGTGGCGACGGGAATACCGGGAACGGCCCGCTCCATATTTGCTCCATTAGACGCACAGACATTTTCCCCATTTCCCCCAAGTGCGTCTTATGGAGCGAAAAAAATACGGTATACAGTGGGCAAAAAAGTATTTAGTCAGCCACCAATTGTGCAAGTTCTCCCCACTGAAAAAGATGAGAGAGGCCTGTCATTGGCATCTTAGGTAGACCTCAACTATGCGAGACAAAATAAGAAAAAAAATCCAGACAATCACATTGGCTGATTTGGAAAGAATTTATTTGCAAATTATGGTGGAAAATAAGTATTTGGTCAATATGAAAAGTTCATCTCAATACTTTGTTATATATCCTTTGTTGGCAATGACAGAGGTCAAACGTTTCCTGTAAGTCTTCACAAGGTTGGCACACACTGTTGCTGGTATGTTGGCCCATTCCTCCATGCAGATCTCCTCTAGATCAGTGATGTTTTGGGGCTGTCGCTGGGCAACACGGACTTTCAACTCCCTCCAAAGGTTTTCTATGGGGTTGAGATCTGGAGACTGGCTAGGCCACTCCAGGACCTTGAAATGCTTCTTATGAAGCCACTCCATTGCCCGGATGGTATGTTTGGGATCATTGTCATGTTGGAGGACCCAGCAACGTTTCATCTTCAATGCCCTTGCTGATGGAAGGAGGTTTGAACTCAAAATCACACAATACATGGACCCATTCATTCTGTCCTGTACATGGATCAGTCGTCCTGGTCCCTTTGCGGAGAAACAGCCCCAAAGCATGATGTTGCCACCCATGGGGTGGCAACATCATGCTTTGGGGCTGTTTCTCCGTCATGTAGGTATGGTGTTCTTTGGATGCAACTCAGCATTCTCTCTCCTCCAAACATGACGAGTTGTGTTTCTACCAAACAGTTCTATTTTGGTTTCATCTGACCATATGACATTCTCCCAATCCTCTTCTGGATCATCCAAATGCTCTCTAGCAAACTTCAGACGGGCCCGGACATGTACTGGCTTAAGCAGGGGGGACACGTCTGGCACTGCAGGATCTGAGTCCCTGGCGGCGTAGTGTGTTTACTGATGGTAGCCTTTGTTACGTTGGTCCCAGCTCTCTGCAGGTCATTCACTAGGTCCCCCCCGTGTGGTCCTGGGATTTTTGCTCACCTTTCTTGTGATCATTTTGAGATCTTGCATGGAGCCCCAGATCGAGGGAGATTATCAGTGGTCTTGGATGTCTTCCATTTTCTAATTATTGCTCCCACAGTTGATTTGTTCACACCAAGCTGCTTGCCTATTGCAGATTCAGTCTTCCCAGCCTGGTGCAGGTCTACAATTTTTTTTCTGGTGTCCTTTGACAGCTCTTTGGTCTTCACCATAGTGGAGTTTGGAGTGTGACTGTTTGAGGTTGTGGACAGGTGTCTTTTATACTGATAACAAGTTCAAACAGGTGCCATTGATACAGGTAATGAGTGCAGGACAGAGGAGCCTCTTGAAGGTACAGGTCTGTGAAAGCCAGAAATCTTGCTTGTTTGTAGGTGACCAAATACTTATTTTCCACCATAATTTGCAAATAAATTCTTTCCAAATCAGCCAATGTGATTTTCTGGATTTTTTTTCTCATTTTGTCTCTCATAGTTGAGGTCTACCTATGATGCCAGTTACAGGCCTCTCTCATCTTTTTAAGTGGGAGAACTTGCACAATTGGTGGTTGACTAAATACTTTTTTGCCCCACTGTATATTACAAAAGGCTGTCTGTGTATTCTGTTTCTCTTTTCACTGGATAACGGGTTAGGCTTTCAGAAGCAACACAATACATATTTCTAGCTCAGACACTATATAAAGGTTTGTGGACACCTGACCATAATACCTAGACGATTATGTCCAGGGGTACTAATGAGCTAGGCATGTTGATACTGTAGGCACTTTCATGTGTGTTGAAGTCAAAGCAAGTGTAAATGAGCCCTTAAAGGCCTCACAGCTGACAATGCATACTTTATCAGAAAAAAAAAGCCATAAGGGCAAAGGGGCTGCATGCAGAGCTCAAAAGATAGGATTATCAAGACACAGATCCCTGTCGGCTTGGACACATTGCTCTGGATGGCTGTGCGAAGCAGTGTGTTTACAGTGAAGCACCAACACACTGTCCCCCAGTAAAACACTCCCAGCACACAGTTAACCCTTTGATTTGTGCTTCATGTTAACCCCTTCTTGCCCATTGTCATTAGTAGTGTCGGTGCTTTTTTTTTTTTAAGCACTGATCACTATTGGCATCACTGGGGATGTCAGTAACACCAAGTCTGTTCCCACCAGTGTCAGAAAAAAAAGTCCCACTATAAAAAAAAAAAAAAAAAAAAATTAAAAGTAAAAAATTAAAAAAAAATATACACCACCATTTGTAAACACTATAACTTTCATGTAAGCCAATTAATTTACACGTATTGGAAATTTTTTTTTTTTTTAGCAAAGACATGTAGCAGAATACATTTTGGCCTAAATTTATGACAAAATTAGATTTTATTTTTTTTTATTACTGGGCACGTTTTAATAGCAAAAACTTTTTTTTTTTTCAAATTTGTCGGGGTTTTTTTTTTTTTTTTTTTTTTAAGCGCAAAAAATGCACAGGCGATCAAATACCACCAAAAGTAGTGGGAAATGAACGTACATTTCATTTGGGTGCAGCGTTGCATGACTGTGCAATTGTCAGTTAAAGTAACGCAGCGCTGTAACGTAAAATATGGCCTGGTCAGGAAGGGGGGTAAATCTTCTGGAGTGGTTAAGTGCCTTGATTATCTGTCTTGTCTTGCAGAAATTTTAAAAACCATTCATGCAGTTTTTATGACAAAAAGGCTATAATCAGGCAGAATGTGCAAAGCACTTTATATTTAGCATTTCTCTTATTCATATTAATTTTAATTTCTTTTTCTGTGTGTGTTATGTTCGTGTTTTGTGTGTGTGTATATATATATATATATATATATATATATATATGTATATTTGTTTTTAATATATATATTTTATTTTGTTCTCTAGGTGGTTTATGGTGGAATCCTCAGACAATGGACAGTGTGAGCTGTAACTATCTGAAAGTTCTTGTTGGTCTTTTTGACGTGATTGTGTGGGGGGGCCAGTGATGGAAAGCATGTTGTCAGCTTTAGAATTCTCCTAGGACTTTTATTTGAGGTGAGGTTTTGGTTATTTTTCTGTAAGTGACTAACCTGGGTGCTATCCAAAAGTCACTATATCGTGCCAGGTGCAAAAAATTAATGTATTGCTGTCACTTTTCTGCAAATACAAGACATAAACCATATAGTATCATCCCTACTCAAGTGACCGCAGGCGGCGCATACCCTATACCATATTTATCAATAAACTCTATTATTCATATGTGTCACTTTGGCCCGAATTTACTAAGAATTGAGTCTACCAGCAGATTCTGACCATTCAGGCAGACTCAATTAAATCAATTAAGACCTGTCAGTCTTCTGAGAGGCGTCTAGCAATCTCATTGAAAAGCATCTACTTTTCTGTTAGTGAATGTGGAATCGCGTTTGGCACGTTTTCAGGTGCAATGCCGGATATGTTCGCTAGATGGCGCACAAGCGCGGGGCACATGATACCATTGGCGTTTTCCTGTTAGCAAAAGAGAATACTTAGAATATAACATAATTAGTACACCTATATTATTTAATTTTTTTTTTTTTTTTTTTTTTGCTATTTCTCCAAAATGATCAGACAACTAATGCATTTACTAATGAATGTCATACATTCTATTTTTAAAATGTTAAACATTTTCACACTTCTATCTCAAATAATTTGGACTGTTTAATAATTTTATATAATAATGTTTAATAATTTGGAATAAGTTTTTCCAATATAATGATATAGCTTCATTCTCTTTAATAATGTAACTATTCTATGTTAAAGTCAAGTGCAGCGCTATAAATACATGTGATCAATAATGAACGCATGTAAAAACCAAAAAGTGCAAAGAATTGCAAGAATGATGTAAAATGGTGCTAAAAATAAGTTCATATAATCATTCCTGAATAATGGAATGTCCTTCGTGTGAGAGAGTACCAACTCAGAGAGTGCCTATGCATGGCACGTGTGGTTTCTCTGTGACGGACAGTAGTGCATGAACTCGTGAAAGATAAACCACCCTTGGGACTGGTCTACACTCACCAGAACAAAAGTATTAATGCGCATGAGTTATACACATCACACATCTGGGGTTGCAGCGGTATGCTGGCAGCTATGAGTTAGTCATCCAGCTCCAGCCATCCATCCATCCATCAGGGTGGGTGCCCAAATGGTCCTGGGGAGGAATTAGCTGAGCCACAGGAGCCAGAAAGGTACTTAATAGTGTCGTACACTGTCACAAGGGTGTATGACCTTTCACGAGTTTATGCACTACTGTTCGTGGTTATATTTATCTTGTGTGATACCATTTTACTAGTCTATATAAATTTTAACAGCGCTCGCTTTATCATTTTTAAACAACGTAACTATTCTACATTGTGGCTCAAACTGTGTATCCCACAGTGGTTTAGTGGTTAGAGCTCAGAACTTACAGCACTTGGGTCATGG